TGCTCTTCAGCTTCTTCAAGGCCGTTATTTCATGTTGGTGGCAAAGTTTGTCTGTTAAACCTTTAGATTGCAGTTTCTCCATGTTTAATTGCACGAGGTGCCTTTTCCTGCAGCATTGAACAGACTGGAACAATTCTCCAGTAGTGCCTTTTGACTTTGTACACCTTTTCTTTACGTATTTGCTTCCTTAAATGTGTTTCTAGATAAAACCCACAAGCTGTTTTTATCGTACACCTTCAAAGAGAATTATCTTCAAAGACCCGTTGTAAGAAGCAAACATAGCCAATACATAGAGTGTAAGCAAGAGATTAAAACCTGATTTGACCCTGATTTTGGTAGGAGTTGGTAGCAAGAAGACTTTAAGTGAAAGTCTGTGATACTGCTTGCTCTCTTCTAGCCTTAAGAACTTATTAAAGACCCAAACCCTCAGTGTCACCAGTGTGTGTATTAATGAAGATTAAGCACAGTCTGGCCACTTACACAGGTCGTTTCAATGAAAGCAGTGAACTTATATCTTTGGGGATTAACATCAGTTTCCAGGCTGCCACATAAAATGAGTCTTTAACATGCAAGAAAAAGCCTTGTCACCCTTTTAATACTCATTATTTCTGGCTACTTTTTCCTCTGTAAGCCTCACATGTGATTTTGATCCATTTACTGGCTGAGTAGAAGGTTCTATGTGGCATTGTAGTTAACTAGATGCAACCTCTGGGTGCCGAGGTGCCTGATGTGAGGTTGGGGTTAGTTGCTGCTCACATCAGTTGGCTGTTGGGCTACTTCTGCACATGCCTGGAACTTGTGGTGCAGCAAGAAGTCACCTACAACCAGGTCACAAAATGTCTCCTACTGAATGTGTTTAGAATCTTAAAATCCTGGACTGGTTTGTGTTGGAAGGGACCTTAAAGCTCCTCCAGCTCCAACCCCTGCCCCGGGCAGGGACACCTTCCACTAGAGCAGTGTGCAACCTGGCCTTGAACACTGCCAGGGATGGGGCAGCCCCAGCTTCTCTGGGCACCCTGTGCCAGTGCCTCAGCACCCTCACAGAGAAGAGCTTTTCCTAATGTAATATTACCTAGAAACCCCCTAAACTGAGAGTAACTCCTTGAAGCCTGAAGGATAGTTTCAAACCATCTCTTTCCTTGCCTAGTAACTTCTGCTGAATGCTGTGTTCCATGCGAATCAGCATATTGCCCTCCTTCGGTAAATCAGAATTGACCAGCTACACTGGCAGGTCCGAAATGAATCACAGCTGCTCCCTAGTTCCTTGTGGCCATCAGCTTGGCATGTTTTTCACTTCCCAAGCCAAGCAAAACAAGCTGGTTTCTGAACTTTCTAATTTCAGAAAGGACATCCAGGTGGCGGGTTTGGATCCCTGTGTGTGTGCAGTTTTGGGAAGATGCTTCAGTTGGCAGAGCTGTGCGACTCCCTGATCGCTGTGTAAACAGACCATCTTGGTCCCTTTATGTGGTGCAACAAATCTAATTCCATTTTGATAATGATAAAACAATCCAACTCTCAGATGGAAGAACAAAGAAGGTAGGAAGTGGCCTGACTCCCAGGACACTCTGTCCCTACTGAAAGCGGCTCTGAAGAGCACACAGTGGTTTATGGCAAACAAAGTGTGAACACCTCCTGCGATCAGTGATAAAATGTGGTTTTTAGATACTCTCAGGTTGTGTGACTCGGAAGCACTGGTCAGGAGAGGACTTCCTGACTCACTGATGAGTGGAGTGTTTCCCATATTGCTTATTTCCCCTCCTCTACACTTTAAAACAAGGACGTGATGAAACCAAACCAGAAATGCTACTGAAGTCATCAGAGAGAAAAGGGTTTGTGGTGAGACCTGAGCCTAGAAGATTTAGAGATGCCCCTTGGGGATAGTGAAGGAGAATCTATGTAGGGTGAAGTTTGTATCTGTCAAAGGAAAGAGGAGATGGTGGCAGCACTGGAGAGTGACAAGTGTAAAGCAGAGCAGAGAACAAGGGCACTGATGTGGGAAGTGAACACTGGAGTGATCAATCAAAGGCAGTGATGGATTCTCCATCCCTTGTCATCTTCCTGGCAGAATGCCTTTCTGGAAGGCAGTAAAATACAAGTCTAGGTCTAAGTAAAATATGAGTTATTGATGGTTATTGAAGAGATTTCTGAGGCTGAAGTTACTTAGGACTTGAAGCTGGATGTAAATTGTCTTTCTGTGCCTGAAATCTGTGAAGTTTGGGGTCAGTGGGTTCCAAAGTATTGGAGGGAGCCTCATTTTCTTCCCCAGACCTCTGTGGTGTAAAAATGTATAGTTTGTTTTAGTGAATTGCATGATTTCTTATCAAACCCATGTGAAATTATGTATTGCAACCTTCATTTCACAAACGTGGAAGTGGCATCTGAATGATGGCAGTGCTTTTGTTCCATCACTAACACTGAGCTCTTCTACTATCACCCACGCAGTGAGTGGGTATGGAGTGTGCCCTCCTCATGTTCATCAGAACAAACTGCACTCACCTCCACCAATGGACAGCGAATTTCTGGCACTCCAATTATTTTTAATAAGCCACAGCTCTATTTTATGGATGCTGAGATCATCCTCAAAACTCTTCCATGCAGTCTGTTTCAGTCTATGGGAGCAGAATGGTGTCGGTGCAGCAGTCATATTTTGAGTGGCAATCCAGTTAACAAATCCCAGTAGTAATATAGAAGCCCTGCTATTTTACAGCTGCTAAAGAAATGGTGCAACCTAACAGCCTGCTTGATTTGAAGGTGTTCATGAAAAATGAACCTATTAGATTTTGAAGCAGTGATTAACCTTTAAAACACAGAGTGTAATTAAAAGGCATCGACGGTGGTTTTGCATCTTAAGCAAGAAAAAGCAAACACTTTGTACCAATGGTAGGATTTTCCAGTTTTAATCATGATTTTTGTTTCAGTTTATCCTGATTCTTAAACTATTTTTACAGTGACTTTTTCTGTCTTGAAGAAAACAAGTGCTACCCACAGGAATAGTGTTTCCTAATAGCTCTAAACCCAAGAACGTAACTGCCGCTTAATGGAAATCATACGGACTCAGGAAATAGCAAGTAATAGAAAATCACTGCAGTATTTATTGACTAAAAATCATTATTAAGCATGAGATGGGAGAGGTGCATATAGCAAATCAGTGTATGGAGCGTATCAGTGAACTCGGCAAAGCGATGTTATGTGCCATGTGGAAGGTAAAGGTGCATTTTCTTTGCTGTAACCTCCTACCTGCACTTTGTACGGTCTCCTAAGTTAGGGGGAGAATAGCTTTGTCAGTCACATGGAACTAAAAGCTCTAAAGAATGAGGGGTTTTCTTTCAGTGTCTATCTAACCTGAGCCGGAGTGATTCTAAAGGTAATACAAGATGATGCGTTTTCCACACTTGCAAAAAGGTTTTATTACAAATCCCATGGGATGGTAGGACAGGACCCGAGATGTCATTGTGAAAAGCAAGGCTCTAGATGGATGTTGGCTTTCCCAGTCTTAAAAACATGTATAAAACTAAAAATCTGCAACTTGGTAAGAAAATAACCTGCCCATGCAGAGAACACGCTGTAAGAACTTCCACTTTGAGCTCTTGAGACGCTTCACCAGTGACTTCTCCTCTGTCCTTTGAAGGGGTTGCAGAACATTGGTCTCTGTGTGAGTCAGTAACGTAAAACCAGTTCAGTTTTGTGTCACGCTAGAACATTCAGAACAGGCTTATGGGGAAAAGCTACTGATTCAGTGACACTTATAATCTATAACTGATTGCCATTGAGGGATGCACTGATTTGATTAAAAGAAACCTCAGTTTAGGCGTTTTTGCATGGATGAGCTCATGAATTCTTAACACTATTTAAAAATAAGACTGAATACTGTTATAGTTGTATGTCCATAGTTGCTCTTTCTGTTTAGGAAAAAAATATATTCTTTTTAGGAAATATTTGGGGTTCTAAAGCATGTTGGATGAGCTGTTGTGTAAACTCTGAAACGTTTCCAGTTATAAACAATATAAAGTACATGAAACACGTGTTTCTTTTCCACATGGAAACAATTGCACTTCCATCCTGGTCCACAGGATCCCCTTCCTAATCCTTCAGCTTTCACAAAAATATGTGGGGATTTTGGTTGCTATGTACAAGAACTCGTAGCCCTCTTGAAGGTTACCTGTAAAGGTGACCTTATTCCATTAAAGCATACTGAGATTAATTTGGAGCTGGACATAGGCTGCTTCCGCACTTCTCTACCCATTTTTACTTCCTTCTCTTTGCTTTGGGGGGGGGGGGGGGGGAAGCAAGTGATATTCCTTAATGGATTTGATGCTGAACTAAGAGGAGAAACAGTGTGAACCAAAACACCTTCAATGTTTCAGTATGTGCAAACTCTTCTGCTCATGATTACTTTTCTTCTACCTAAAGACTGAAGAGTTTGTGTCTCAGTGATGCTGCAGGGTATATGTGATTTCAAACCAGTTTGGCACATGACACTGTGACTCAAATGGTCTTAAATCCTTAAAAACACAGAAGATGATTCCCATTCCCTGGCCGCTTCTAGCATGGGAAATTTTTCCACAAATGGAACTTTTTCCATAATGCCAGATGGAATTTTAATGACAATAGCAAATACTTGGAGGAAAAAAATGCGGATTTATAATTGAGAGCAAAATTTAAACTGTGATTTTCAGGAAAAATCCCCCAAATGAGGAAAAAAAGATGGATTCCCATCTCCTCCCTAAGTGTGTTGGTTAGCAAGAACAGTTAATGGATTGAGAGATAAATTACGATGTGCTGGAAAACCCATCTGAAAAGCTGAGCAAATAAATAGCATCTAAAATTTACGGCTCCTTCCAAACTGGTTCCAAAGCATGATGCACACTATAAATTCTCTGGTGCCTTCTGCAGTGTTGTAGAGGTTTTCCAAAGGCTGCATTACAAAAAGATAGTAAATTAGGGCAAGTGCCACCAATTTGTAGAGCTTTTGGTTTCTCTTGGTGGGGTTGGGTTTGTCAATGTGTCAGAATGTGTCATTTAGACGTTTTTGGGTACCAAAAGACCTCGAAGTGAGACCTAGGACAGATGATTGTCCTGTAGCCATGACCCTGTGCTGTGGTTAAAGGCTTCTCCTGACCTTGGGAGGTTTCTGGCTGCTCACCCCTTGAGGATGAGCAGCAAACGTGTTCCTCTGGTGATGAGGACAGAGCTAAATAAGAAATGATGGCGAGCTGTCAAGGTGTGGTACCTTAGTTGAAGTCTACATCGCATGAAGGCAGATACACACGGAGTCACATCTTAGAGACTAGTCATGGTCTTGGACCACATGAAAAATTGTGCTTTGTCCAGGATAAATGTGCTGAAAACTGCACTCCCCGATCAACATGGATTTGTAAAACTGAAGACCACTGCAAACATAAGGCTTGCTTTGTTATTTCCTCCCCTTGTTGTTGTTTAAAGACAATAAACCAAACCCCAAAAGGCTTGAAAACAACAGTGATATTGAGCTGTGTACAGGATGACAGCCTACAATTTACCAGGTTAGAATGTGACGCTTTCAGATCTAAGGAGAAGGGCGGGGGAATAGTTTTACTTTCCACCTTTGTACAAATTTCAATTCAGGTTTTACATCCCACATTGGTGAACTGCAAATCAAAGTTGGCAAGGGATTAGGCAAGGGGTTCTCTTAACACCTTGCTTCTGGACAGGAGTCTATAGGTACAAAGGCCTTTTTGGTACACAGGGTGAGAACTGGATGTCACCACAAGGGTCAGAACCACGTTGGCCAGTAACTGCTCAGTCTACCACGATCCCGTTTAGCGAGGATTGATAGAACTCCAAGTGTTTGTCAAAGAAGGCCTTGAACTCCACATGGACTTGGGTTAAAGGAACCAGAGTTTCCATCTTCCGTGCTTTTTTGATTCAGTTTTGGATTTTTGCTTGGGAGTGGAGGAGTAGCTCTCCTGAGAATAAGGCAAAGGTGCAACCTGAGTTTCCTCAATAGGATGAAGTTTTCTCAAAACTGGCTGTAGTTTATCTTCTTGCTGTTTAAAATCCAGTTCCACGCTAAAAATGGGATGAGAAAAGCAATTGGTTATTAATTGTGATGACAAAGATTTCAATTAAACCCACATCTGATGCTTAATTTCTGACATTCAGATGTAAAACAAACGCTTCAGTTGGATCTCCACAGTTCTTGCACTGCAAGGGGAAGAGGAAGGTTGAAGAAAGGACATAATTGCAAAAGAGAAATAGGAATGGGATAGCGTAAAGTTTTCCCTCCTGTTTAGGGGAGCCTTGAGGACTATAGTAGATGTGCTGTGAAGTGATTGAAAACTAGAAATCCTACTTCTCCCCGTTTTTGTGGTGAAATGCTCTTTGAGGGCTCCCAGGCTGGCTTCTCTCCCATCTACAAGGCCTGGGAGGATGGGGTGGCAGCCAAGAACCCCAGAGCAGACTGCTGAAACAAAAACCTCTAATGATGTAAACCCATTTATTTAGTTGACTGTATCCTAGAATCCCAGCCTGGTTTGGGTTGGAAGGGACCTTAAAGCTCATCCAGCTCCAACCCCCTGCCATGGACAGGGACACCTTCCACTAGAGCAGCTTGCTCCAAGCCCTGTCCAACCCTTATTTCAACATTTATGCTACAAATTGTTTCGAGTTTACCTTATAAAGCAAAGGAGCCACATTATAAACCTCATCAAAAGGGTAATGCTGTCCCAAAACCAAATCCTGGCTGCTTAGAAATACCCTGAAACATCATGAGTTTGATTCTGCTAAAATGGGGATATCAGTTCATTGTGAATCCCCACCACATAAATGCTTTCAGTATTACAATGAATCTCAGAATGAAGTTGACTCTTCCTTAAGAGCTCTCTAAATCTCATGTAAAGTGGCATGTAAATTTGGGCAGAACGTGGCAGATATTATAGTAGCTTTGTACCAGAGAAGGGCCACGGGGATGATCAGGGGCTGGAGCACCTCCTGTATGAAGACAGGCTGAGAAAGTTGGGGCTGTTCAGCCTGGAGAAGAGAAGCTGCGTGGAGACCTCGTAGCAGCTTCCAGTGTCTGAAGGGGGCCTATAGGGATGCTGGGAGGGACTCTTCATTAGGGACTGTAGTGACAGGACAAGGGGTAACGGGTTAAATCTTAAACAGGGGAAGTTTAGATTGGATGTAAGGAGGAAGTTGTTTGCTGTTTGGGTGGTGAGGCACTGGAATGGGTTGCCCAGGGAGGCTGTGAATGCTCCATCCCTGGCGGTGTTCAGGGCCAGGTTGGACACAGCCTTGGGTGCCATGGCTGGGGGGTTGGAACTGGATGATCTTAAGGTCCTTTCCAACCCTAACTATCCTGTGATTCTAAGTCAGGGGGACAGAAAACGGCATTTCAGCTCTGCCACCGGCACGGTTCATTTTTACTTCTTTCAGAAGTGATTCTTGCAGGGGAGCTCTCAAGAAGCACTTGATGTAAAAGATGAATTGTTTTTAAAGAACCTTGCTGAAGAGAGTGATGTTTTTCATAATCAATTCCTATTTAAGATAGATCTCGAGAGAAAAAACATCTTAGATCGAGTCCATATGACAGAACCCATGTTATTATCATCCTCTCCTGTATAAACCTGCTTTCAGCAGTTCAGGCTCAGCTATTTGCAGCCAAATGAAATATTTTGCTGCTGAAAATGAATGAAAACATTAATTATTTCAGCATTTAGAACTGTAAATTCTGCAGAAGAATTGGTTCTTGTCTATCAAGATGCGTTTATCCAGCTTTGTCGTGTACCTGCTCTGTTCAGGCAAGCAGCTTGTTTGCAAACTTAAGTTTCAGTCTTTGTGCTGCAAAAAAAGAAGCCAAAAACCTCCTTATTTTGTAATTTTCCACATATCTTCCTAAATTATCTATAGCTAGCTTTATTTTTGGTCTTTCTATCAAGCATAGGAAATACTAGTAAAGCCAGCAAGTGTTATGTGTTTGTATGACTTTCTTATATCATGTTACTGCCCTGCAGAGCTTTCTGCTTCCTGCATTCATGACCTTGATTTTGTCACCTGTCACAGCTCTGACAGCTCTGTTTTGCTCAGTGCTGGGTTTGTATCCAAAGTCTCTACAGGTTTCCTCTCAAAATGACCTTTTCCTGAAATACTCCTTATTCTGTGTGGTTCTCTCCACTCACAAATTTGGTCTGGTTTTGACTCTTCTTTAAGCCTCCCCCATAATAACTCCGTATACTCACACATTTACAACTTCCTTGGGCAACCTGCTCCAGTGCCTCACCACACCACAGTGAAGACTTCCTTATATCCAACCTAAATCTCCCGTTTCAGTTTAAACCCCATTCTCTCTTGTCCTATCGCTACAGTCCCTAATGAAGAGTCCCTCCCCAGCATCCTTGTAGCCCCTTCAGATACTGGAAGGCTGCTCTGAGGTCTCCACGCAGCCTTCTCTTCTCCAGGCTGAACAGCCCCAACTTCCTCAGCCTGTCTTCATACAGGAGGTGCTCCAGCCCCTGCTCATCCTCGTGGCCTCCTCTGGACTTGCTCCAACAGTTCCATGTCCTTTTTATGCTGAGGACACCAGAACTGCACACAGTGCTCCAGGTGAGGTCTCATGAAAGCAGAGTAGAGGGGCAACGTGGACACCTCCCTCAAGGTATGAATACAAGGTGGTCAACTTCCTCAAGCTGCTTTTCTCTGGCTTATCCCAGTCTCTAAATCCTATCACTGTGGATTAGGGATTGCTGTGGAGGATTTTCTGCTTATGGCTTGGGCAGACTGTCCAAGCTTGTGAAGCTTTGTTTAGGCTGGGGATAGTGGAAAAAGAAAGAAGAGAGGATTATAAGAGTTTGAAACAGGTCTTCCAAAAAGGTCACCTCACTTGTTAAAGCACCTGCTGGATTCCTTGGCTAAGAGGAGGTTTAATTTCTTTATTTTTCTTAGGAATATATGTATTAATTTGCTATATTCAGTGCCAGTTTGGAACGCTTGAGCCTGCAGTAGCTGACCTAGCTTATTTGGATGATTTAGAGAATAGATGAGTTTATTTTTTGCGCACTGGCAGCAGAGTGAACTTTCCCTAATCCTGTTGCTGTAGAAGGGATTGAAAACAGAGTTTGAGGAGTCATAACCATTTGGGTTGAAGCATATGGACTGTGGGTGGGTATCTAGCAACAAGCTTAGGAATACGGATGGGTTTTCTTCTTCATGCCACAGTCACAAGTTATTAACATGAATCATTTTAAGACTATTAGATGCTAATGAGAGGATACGTTGGTTATTTGCAAGATGGACAAATTCAGGTTCAGGACTGGGTTGTTGAGGGCTTTATGCACTTGTCTCTTGAAACCTCCACGGATGGAGCCTTCTGTGTTCTGCCTTAAGGGAAAACCTTTCTCCTCCTACTTGACCTGGGCCTTTCTCATCTCATTCACCCCCCTTCTGTTCACCTTTTATTATCTAGTTTATAATGTGAAGGCCCAAACCCTACAAGCATTTATAGAACAGCCCAGCTCTTTGCATTTAAGTCGCTGGGTGAACCAGGAATTAAAGAATGTCACAGTGTCTCCTTCTGGATAACATTAACTGGATGGTATGGCACGTCACAGCTTGGAATAGTGGGATCCAGATAAGCACTGATCACTCAAAAACTGCCTGACCATACTTTTGAGGGATCTCATGAATTTCCTATTTCAACCTGCTAGTCTCGAAGGCCAGGATCTAAAGCAGTTGGTGTTAGCAAGCCATTAAGATCCATTTTTACTGCTAAGCATCTTAGTCTAGAGATAAGATGAGAGAGAATGTAAATTAATTAGTGTGGATAGGAAATAAAAAGATGACATTGCTATTCTTATCATGTAGGTACCTGATTTTGCTATCTCAGGGATTGATGTCTACTTGTCTTATTGCCATACTTATGAATATTAATAATTATCACTATATCTAACCTTTACAAGTGAACTACTTCCACATGGGCTTGTGCTGCCTAATGAACTGGTGATTGCAATCCTGTTTGATTTGCCACTGTTGTATTGAGAGTTACGTGGCAGAGATTCTGATCATATATGTTCTGTTGAGTACTTGGAATACATCTTAAAAGTAACTTCAATATCAAAGACAAAACCGAGCATTGAAAACCAGCATAATCCGCCATTTCAAAGGTGTAAAAAGTGGCTAAATTAGTGACAAGAGAAGAGCTTTGAGTAATTCTCCCCACCAAAACTCCTCCATCCCTGGCAGTGTTCAAGGCCAGGCTGGACGGGGCTTGGGGCAAGCTGCTCTAGTGGAAAGTGTCCCTGCCTGTGGCAAGGGGTTGGAACTGGATGAGCTTTAAGGTCCCTTCCAACACAACCCATTTGTGATTCCATAAATACAGCATTGTGTTATTGATTTGTCTGTTCTCCCTATGCAGAAATTGGCTCATGATTTGGTCTGGTTAAAAGTTCACTTACAAGAGCTAAAATAACCTTGTAAAAGCAATTGAGTACTTGTGATCTTTTTGCCTAAAGAGAAGCCTAGCCTGAATACTTCAAGATGCTCCTTCACGGAAATAACTCGCGCTGAAGGCCTAAGAATAATGCACACAGTATTAAAAGAGAAGCCTCATTTTTCTCATACAGATTTCTGTTCAAGGATTACAATTCACAGGGGATGATAATTTAAACAGGAGTGGAAAGGGCAGTTCCACTAAAAGATAATTACAGAATAAAGCAGGCTGTGAAGACTTTAGTACATATAGGTTTGGGTGGCTTAGAATTGGTTCAGTTTCTGCATAGCAGTGCAATTGCTTCTTAATAGCAGCATTTTGATAGACATCAGTATTTAAGTTGCCTTTGTCCTGGCAATATACTTGAGTAACACTTACCTTCTATCTTTGAAAATAGTGAACATACTTTAGTTTGTAATAGATGTAAAAGTTTTTGTCTTTTGTTTATTGTTCTTTTAGTTTGGTAGAAGATAATTTGGAAAGAGTGGATTATGAGATACCAATAGTAATGGAATAGATTAACATTTGTCACAGCTCAACACTTGATAAAATGGTTTATTTTTGCTACTTTAATCACATTATTATGTTTTAAATACTGTATAGAAATACTATAGAGATGATGTTGAATGCTTTTTTCTGACTGTTTTAGACTATTGCTAGGTAGTCGGAACTTTATACTTGGGCTTTACAACGTAGTGCAATGCTGTTGCCTAATATAGAAGTTGCTCTGCTGTTTGAGCCAAGAGCTTTATAAGAAGCAGCACCACTGATGGCGTGCTTCCCCAAATCCATTGGCTGGTGAAGCCTTCAGGAGAATCATGGAATCAACCAGGTCGGAAAAGAGCTTTAAGCTCATCCAGTCCAACTGCTCCCCAGCACTGCCAAGGCCACCACTAACCCATGGCACTGAGGCCTCGTCTCCACGGTGTGTGAACACTTGCAGGGCCGGTGACTGCAGCCCTGCCCTGGGCAGCCTGTTCCAATGCCTGAGCACCCTCTGGGGCAGGAATTGTTCCTCAGCTCCATCTAAACCTGCCCTGGGGCAGCTTGAGGCCGTTTCCTCTTGTCCCATCCCTTGTTCCTTGGGAGCAGAGCCCAGCCCCTCCTGGCTCCATCCTCCTGTCACGCAGTTGTAGGGAGCGATCAGGTCCCCCCTGAGCCTTCTCTTCTCCAGACTGAAGCCCCCCAGGTCCCTCAGCCGTTCCTACCCAGACTGAGCCTTTCCCCCTCTAAAGCCCAGGCCTAATTGGGTGTTTAATTGGGAGTGGAAGCAGTGAACTGCTGTGTGATGCAGTTAATGTGGCGTGTCTTGTGTGGTGGAAGATGGCGTGGCCTCCCATGTCTGGAGTTCCTGACAACTTCTAGAACATACTTTTTATCAGAGAAATAAGAGGAATTGTGAGAGAAATAGGGAATAAGGAAAAAAAAACCCACATCTAAAACAGTTCAAGTTTTGGTACCTTATGTTTTTAATAGTGTTTCATGTTCGATTAGTTTCCTATTTATTAAAAGAACTGAGATAACCCGGTTTTCCTTTTTCCTGTAATACTAAGAACTGCAATAAATTCTTTTCGATGTAAAGGCAAAAGAACATCAAAATAAATTTGGAATTTTTGCAGAAAATTTAAATCGCATATACAAAATAACTGTATTCTCAAAACTATATTCTTAGAATGGTTACTAGCAGTATTGGCATTTTGGATACTAAAGATCAGCTAAACCCCCTTTAAAGTACAAGCGTTCTTTGTCTCTTCCTACACTGTCTATGGCTTTTGTGCTATATATTAATATTCTGCAAAGTCATCCTTAATTACACTGATTGTTTCTGCATTGTAGCTTCTCATCTGTGCTGTGCTTGACATTAGAGGCTGCAGTTGGGGAGTCAGTAGGGCAACTTAATCCCTCCCCTCGGATGCTGCTTCACTGCAGTCTGAAGGTTAGAAACAGCTCTGACTGTTCTGTTGTCAATGCTACTGGGTTCAAAATTGAATCATAATTAAAAAGAAACCAAGTCACTTGGGGAGAAGTTAAGGTTTTCCCTTCAAATCATTGATTTGTCCTGTAAGGGCATTCGTTCTGTTTCCCTTAAGTGTCCTCTATCTACTGCATGGGGGAAAGAGCTCAAGGCTGAGGGTCCAGAGCAGGAGCCTATTGTAAAAGCAGCCAGTGGAACACACAGCAGGACAAACAGAACAGTCCTCCTGGTCTGACATGGATATTTACCAACAGCTTCCAAGGCCGAGGGCCCTCAAACGTACTCAGGTTTCCAGCTGCACAGTTTAACCTAAGCTTTAGTATGTGTTCCTAAAAGGCCTTTTGTCCTAAAAAGAAACCACATAGCTCTGTCCAGCATTTGCCACGCAAACCTTTTGCAAAGATGAAGTGTGCATCATTAAATCAAGGTTTAAGAGTAACTTTAGCACCCTTACTAATGAAAGTAGCATATGTGACTTGAGGAGGAACAGGAACTCCTACAAGGCACTCTGTTTTAGTGGTAGTTTTATCAGTGAATTTCTCTTTTATCTCTTCTGGCTACTTACCTTGTCTCAGTAATTCAGTTTTGTCATAATGCCCCTGTTTTGCACTCTCTTCTTGCCTGCAGCACTTATTCTCCTCGTGTCAGAAAGCTGAGCTGAGTTTTGCTAAAGCTTCCCCTGGAAACCTTGCTTCAGGCAACAGCCCAGCACTGATAGCTCCAGGCCACTGGTGGGACCCAAGAACTGGACCTGCCTGCTCTTCTGTCAGCCTATTGATAGGGAAAGCCTTGAAATCTGCATTTCTGGAGTCACTCCATTTGCAGGGAGCACAAAAGGGAGAAACTGGAAGGTTCCTTGCCTTTAAATCTTGTTAATGATTAAATCAGAATTAAATCTGATTGAAATCTTTAAGTCTTTTAATCAAGGTTTTTAAACAACTTCCAATTGGACTTTTTTAGCTAATGAAATAAGAGCAGTGCAAATGTCCTGTGTTCTACCTTCGCAGGCTGCCCTGAGCAAGAAACTACACAGGACTGGCCTCAGAAAGGGGGAGGCTTTGGTCTGTGTCTGCTTCTTTTTGCTATCCAGTCTCAAAACAACTTCCCAAGTCCAGTCACTCCTGCCTAATGTATGTTGAGTTGTTGGACAGAACATATTTAAACATATCTAGCAATGGGACAACGGAGCTCAGACCTTGTAACATTTCCCATCATAGAATAGTTAGGGTTGGAAAGGACCTTAAGATCATCCAGTTCCAACCCCCTGCCATGGCCAGGGACACCTCACACTAAACCATGGCACCCAAGGCTGTGTCCAACCTGCCCTTGAACACCACCAGGGAAGGAGCATTCACAACCTCCCTGGGCAACCCATTCCAGTGCCTCACCACCCTCACAGGAAAGAATTTCCTCCTTAGATCCAATCTAAACTTCCCCTGTTTAAGTTTTAACCCGTTACCCCTTGTCCTATCACTACAGTCCCTAACAAAGAGTCCCTCCTCAGCATCCCTATAGGCCCCCTTCAAGCTACAGCACTTGTACTGACTAACTATCCGATCTGAAAGTTTTAGACTCGGCGTCTGTTGACTTTAATTCAGTGGAGTACTTAAATTTATTATGTTCTATTTGTGTTATTGAAAAACCCAGGCTAACAACTGATCCTTCATTAGTGAATAAAGCATTACTTTCACGCAAGAAAAGTGGGAATAGGAGGATTTTAACCTACCTGTAGATAATACATGCACTGTTCCTGCATGTGTCGCAGTTAGCTGTGTCTTGACCAGTCCGATACGAAAGCCTACAAAGACAAGAACATGAGGTCATTGAAGAGGAATTTGGTTTGACATGGTTTTACCTTCTATGATTCTTTCCTAGACATCAGGGGTTCTTTTTGGTTTGAACTTAAATATTGAAGGCAAAAAAGGAGCCATTAGGAAACCAGGATCAACATTCAGTGTAATTCACGTTCCCTGAGCAATGGGAGGATGAAGTAATTTGGAAAGTGAGCCTTTGATGATTTCAAGGAGAAAATAAAGCATTTAGATTACAAAGTATAACAGAAATAAAAGGGAAAACAACAAAAGAACCAAGTGAGGTGAAGCTCTTCTTGCATAAAGCTGCTGTGAACCAAGGTGATGAACCATCCCTGTAAGCAGGCTGGTTTGTTTTCTCTGCTTTCTCAAATCCCTGAGGCTTTTCCCAGTTACTGGTGGATGTACAGAACATAATACTGAAAAACGGCACCTATTTCAGTGCCTCAGCAATGAGGTATGAAGATGGGTTGTAGGGATGTTTATGTCTTAAAAGGAAGAAAGTACCATTTAAATCACACTTTCTGCACTCACGTAGCCTACGGCTGTTCTTTGACACGCTTTGGTTTGTAGTCTGTTGGAGCAGTGTCTTAATTTCCTTATGTGTTGTCTCTGAGTTGGTCAATTTGAATTAAAAAGGGGTTTTAAGGCATGCAAGTACTTTTTTGTGCATAGGTATTTCATCAAAATAAATCATAAAATCCCAGCCTGGTTTGTGTTGGAAGGGACCTTAAAGCTCATCCAGTCCCAACCCCTGCCACGGGCAGGGACCCCTTCCACTAGAGCAGCTTGCTCCAAGCCCCTGTGTCCGACCTGGCCTTGAACACTGCCAGGGATGGGGCAGCCACAGCTTCTCTGGGCACCCTATGCCAGCGCCTCAGCACCCTCCCAGGGAAGAGCTTCTGCCTAAGAGCTCATCTCAGTCTCCCCTCGGGCAGGTTAAAGCCATTCCCCTTGGCCTGTCCCTACAGGCTCATCTCCAAAGCTTCTCTCCATGTTTCCTGTAGCCCCTTTAGGCACTGGAGCTGCTCGAAGGTCTCTTATGTCTCAGGGGGGTGAAGTAGTATCTGTTTTTCATTACCTTTTGAAGTCTTTCAGAAGCTGACATTCAGATTGTCCCTACTCTGTTAAACTTGGCCTTGCTAAATATTTTTTCCAAGCTATTGATCAAATACTAAGGACTCTTCCTAAGGCTACAACATCTAAAGTTTACAGAGCAGTTGATGAAGGCCTTTATTTACTGAGCACAGAAAGGATAGTCAATAATTGCTGTCAGAGGAGCACAGTTGGTCAAGTGCTTCTCTATAGGTAAAAGCATAAACCCACCATGCTGGGTACCAAGTGAAGTCGGGACATTTGAATTCATCTGCATACTCCTACAAACTACCATTCAAATCGGTTAATTCTCTGGCTTGTAGAATAATAACCTTCTTCTCTGCCCCTTTCTCCTCTTTGTCCATGGTGCTGCAGGGTTTAGGTACTCACATTTGGCTGCCCCTTCGTTGCTAAAGGGTTTTAATAAAGGTCCTTTCCAACCCGAACTGTTCTATGATACCATGCTACACAGGAGCATGTGTGTCGTCACTGCTTTAGTTCCTATGAAGCTCTACCAAGCAGATCCCACCAGCACCGTGTCTATCTTACAAACATCGTGTTTTAGTTAGGATAAACTTCCTCAACACTGGTTGGTACTTGGCTAAAGCCATGCTCTGTTTGGTGTTTATGTGGATGTACTGGTTCAGTCATAAATTACAGTCCTGCTTCTGTAACTTACAGTGGTTTTAATATCATATTAACAATAAGGCACTGAATAAACTTAGGTACTTGGGTATCTTCCTAAGACTCGAGTTTTCCATATTGTATTTATATTTCTAAAGCATGATGATCTTCAAGTGCACAATAATTCCAGACATTCAAGTACTTAAAACCTTATTTCCTACTTTATGGTATAAGGCAAACTCATTAAGATGACAAAAATGGTCCTTTGATACAAATATTTAACAATTACATGAGTTTTAGATGATCAGTTTGAAATCCTGGTTTCTGAACTGACCACTTGGTTTTAGCACCGGCGTCGTTCACAAGCGTTACTGTTTGCTGTGATACATCTAGTTTTTCCTAGTTTTATGTCATTCACGATGAACTTAAAGCATCATTTTCCTTATTGAATATTCGTAGCTCTTCAGGGATTATTTTCTTTTCAAGCCACAGATCTAGCAGTGTTGCCTTCTCTGGACCATCCTGTCAGTCAGACCTCTTTGTAAGGCCCAAGAACGCTGCATGGTGTCACACTGTTTGGTTTCCATGCGGCGCTTTGATAGCTCTTAACCAGGGCTGCGTATGTGAGTGTTAGATCAGTATAAATTCAATTATTCCTATACAAATTAAACTCTTCAGGAAAGAATTTTGTTGTTGACACCCCAGGGCTTTGGACTCTCGCTTGTTTTCACATCTGCATAAGCACATGCATAGAATTCATCTACTTCATGCCAACAAGGATTTCACTACTGGCATAACGTTTCCATGTACATCCTAGGCAGTGAGGTTGATCTGCAACACGGGCTTACTGAAAAACAGAGCTTCCTACCAGTGTTAACTGCTACAACCAGTTTGTGAGCGCACTCTGGGTACCAGGTTCAGGAGAGCAGAGTCCTGGGTGCTTATTCTTCCCTTGTGAGGTGGGGTATTTTGAATAAGCTACTTTTCTCCTTCCCCTTTAAAATGTTTTTAAGGGTATTCCAGTGCCAAAGAGCTCGGGTTAGACCAGTAACTTTATTCTTCATTGCTAAACCAGTTGTTACTTTCAGTAAGAAGAAAACCTGTACATTGTGATGTTTTGCACCAAAGACTCCTACAGATTTGTTTTCTTTTGAGGGACATTAAAGTTGGTTTTGATCCGGTTCAGATCCAAACTGGAGTGTTTCACTTTGTACTGAGATATCTGGGAGCCAGGAGTTCCCCCCAAGCTGTGAATCCCGTGGGCCATGTAGTTCACGTAACAATCACCGCAGCATTAAGCTTTGCAGCTCATTTTACTAATCTTAATATCCTAATTTTGGGAATGCCTCAGTGGTTTTAGTAGTATTACATGTTATAATTCGCTTCAGTCGCTCAGTTTTATCCTCAACCTCAACCTTATTCTGGTGTCCTCAACATAAAAAGGACATGGAACCGTTGGAACAAGTCCAGAGGAGGCCACAAGGATGATCAGGGACTGGAGCACCTCCTGTATGAAGACAGGCTCAGAAAGTTGTGGCTGTTCAGCCTGGAGAAGAGAAGACTGCTCACAGACCTCAGAGCAGCCTTCCAGTATCTGAAGGGGGCCTATAGGGATGTGGGGAGGGACTCTTCATTAGGGACTGTAGTGACAGGACAAGGGGTAACGGGTTCAAACTGAAACAGGGGAAGTTTAGGTTGGATATAAGAAGGAAATTCTTTCCTGTTAGGGTGGTGAGGCACTGGAATGGGTTGCCCAGGGAGGTTGTGAATGCTCCATCACTGGCAGTGTTCAGGGCCAGGTTGGACAGAGCCTTGGGTGCCATGGTTTAGTGTGAGGTGTCCCTGCCCATGGCAGGGGGTTGGAACTGGATGATCTTAAGGTCCTTTCCAACCCTAACGATTCTATGATTCTATGATCTGGCATTATGAATGAACAGGAAAGACGTCTTGAGCTTGAAAGGGGAGAGTGCAAAGTCCTGTCTTGTACAGTGCACATCTACTGGTATGAAGATGTGAGGTGCAGTCTGAAGGCAGTGGAAGGTGTCCCTGCCTGTGGCAGGGGGTTGGAACTGGATGGGCTTTAAGGTCCTTTCAACCCAAAGCAGTATGGGAGTCTTTGAAGACCCAACCAAATCTAACCTCTTCCCCTGTTAACCAGCAATTCCTTATTCTTTTCTTGGTGATCTTACTACAAAAGATGTTTTAGTTCCTACCTGGAAAAATATTTCTCATGTGGATGCTGAAGGAAATCTTTTGGTTTAAGTAAGCTGCCTTCTGGGTAGAACCTGTACTACCTCATGATTTGTTTTTGTTACCCCCAAAATGACGGAGTTGAGTGAGATACATCTGTGTGTGTATATGTATATATATCCACACACACATGTATGGGGGGGGCTAATCCTATCAGTATAGCGAAGTCAATGCAGCACTAGTCATTCCTAGTTTGATGGCATGCATGCTGATCTGCAAGGAAGGAACTGAATGCATGTATTTGTTTAATGAGCATCCCTGGTATTCATAATATGACTGTATTTTATACTGCTTAATATGTTTTGATTTACACTAAAAGCAGCCATTACTCCAGTAGCTTCATTCTTTGATACCTTACATCTCATATCATCATTTTCCATATGGGTGCACATAGATGGGCACGCTTAAGCTCATGTGTGATGTGCTGCTGTGTGGTCAGGTGCTGGAGAAGGGCTGCATTTGGGTTAGTTGGGTTGTTGTGGCTGCATCCACCCAGCTGAGTCACCTTGGCAGTGATACCTCACCTCCCCACTCGGTTTCCCACACCTGCTTGTGATCTCCATTACATATTATTTGCAGGAGGCTCTCATTTCTTGCATTTCTTTCAGCATTCTTGGCACACCCTGAGCTTAACCTCAATTAACACCTCCAAGTATTAGAATATCATAACGAAGAGCCACCCTTCTGCTGACACGGACTGGCAATAACTAATAATAGGCTGCAGTTTTCAGGCAGCCTGAGGGAATGACACCCTCAGAATCCCTGTGAAATGCAGAATTCCTGAACCTGCTTGAGGCTCTTCTTGAAAACACCAACTGGAACATCCAAATCTTGGCATTTGAGTAGGTTTTTTTGCTTGTACAGATTGGAGACCCCATTTTGCTGGGAGGGGGGAAGCTCAGATCTGGATATGCTGATTTTCCCCTAGTTTTCAGTTGGTGGCTAGAGAAGAGGTGCTAATTCAAGTATCCTGGACATAGAATCCTGGAATTGTTTGGCTTGGAAGGGACCTTAAAGC